TCAGGTTGCACAGGACGCCATGGATTTCGGACCAAAAGGACACGTCAACGACTCGCCATGGAGACTGTCTGATGCTATGCACCTACAACGCCAGGACAGCCTCTACCAACGCCGATCTTCACGACCTTCTCGAAGCTGCAGAGCGCAACTATCACGTAATCGTCTTGCAGGAAAGAAAGTCCAGGAAAACGGATGAGAGGCAGCTGAGTGATGGCACACTCATTATTTGTAGTGAGAAAGTTCCCTCACGGAACGTCGGAGGCGTTGAATTTGTCGTACACCTACCTGTTGTCCATCTTGTTGATTTGCATGAGATCCTATCACCTCGTCTGGCTATCCCTCGACTTCGTCTTCTGCATCAAAAAACCATCACTATATCAAATGCTCTTCTCCAACATCAGCAGCTGAGGATTTGGAACTTGATGCTTTTTATGAGGAATTGGAGGAAGTCATCCGCAAAGATTCTCCTTCTAGTTCGTCGTGGGTGACTTCAACGCGAAAATCGGAATGCCAGAACAAGGGGAGCACAGGATCGGGAGGTTTGGATCAGGACTCCGGAATGAGAATGGTAACCGTCTTGTTGGGCTCCTATCCGCCGCACGACTTTTTCATAGCAACTCCATTTTCATGAAGAAAGAACAGCGACGGTGGAAATAGGAGTCACCCAACGCTACGACTCATGCGGAGATCGACCACACTCACCAGCCGAAGGTGGCTTACTGGATGTCTCAGTGGTACCATCCTCCAGTAGTGGCTGAGATCACCTCCTCCTTCGAGCAAAAGTGCGTTTTAGCCGAAACCTGAAAAAAGAAAATCTGCCACCGTATTGGAGGAAGGAGAGGTCGTATGCGGCGTCAGATCGGAGGAGCTCCTGACCACTTGTGACTGGCCCGTCGAGGAGGACCCGACGAAAGACTGCGACCTCCTTTTTAGAGGACTGAGAGCCTGTGTGAAAGTGCCTCAATGCCTCGCAGCCTCGCACAAGAAACTTGGAACGAATTTCGAAAGCCACCAAGGATCTGCTAGGAAGAGCACTGAGGCTGGATCCGACTGCATCCCATCTCGAGCGACTGGTAGCCAATACCAGTTGCAGAACAGTCTTGCAAGAAGATCTTCGAAAGTACAGGCAATCGAAAGTTTGGGAAGCAGCACAAGGCCGAGAAGTCTTGAGAAGTACTGCAAGGATCTTCTCGACTATCGTGTTCCGCTGACAACATTACTAAACGAAGACGGGCTCGTACATCTTTCCGACAAAAAATGGAATTTTTGCATAGTTGGATCTGAATTGGGCAACTGGATTGACTGAATAAGAATAGAAATCTAAGTACTTTGTTCGTAAGTACTGCACGCTCCTGCGCAACTCTTTGTAATTATTTGTTTTTAGGACAGGTCAGTAGGCTGAATAAGTAGTACTATGCTGCGAATGCAAAACAGGGTTTGAAATATTTAGACCTAGAAGTAGACACAGTGGCACAGAAAATATCTAATTCAAATGCTTACGAAGTAGAATTGTCTTTGTAAAGCCAACTATCATTTTCACTTCCTTTAGCACTAACGTTTCCATGAAAGGAGAGACAACAACGATGTGCCATGCTGTCGTCTTGACCGGAAGTTCAGACGCGCACTTTTCATAATCCTTCGAACTTGTCCTTCTAAGCAAATAGGCGTCAGCCAAAAAAAATCAAGAAGGATTTGCAAAGGGATTTTGAAAGTATAAATTGAACTTAAGTAAACAGGTTAGAGTTGAAAATACAAATAAATGAAAGGTCGTCATGCCCTCTTCTGCATTTGGTCTCCAGCGACCTGTAGGAGACTTAGTCTCCATCAGCAAACCCTTTTTGTTTTTCATAATTTCGCTTTCCTATCGTACTTTTGTTAAGCATGGTACAATTAAACAAGAGCACAGTAAATAGTTTGTTTCTCCCGTTGCTAAAACTCAAGCCACACTTTACCGAAGATAACACGCCTTGATTGGAATGGAACGCTGTAGGAATTGTTCTGTTTGTATGCGCTTTTACAAGTTACTGAGGGGAATTGCGTCTCATCGTTGCAAAAAAAAATTGTTCTAGTAAGGTTCAACCGAGAATGCTTAGTTTGACTACTGCTCCGCTGCTCTCATGAGAAAAGTGTAGTAGAGGAACGCTAAAAGCACGCTAATTAGTATTGTTACTATAAATGGACACATTCTTGTCGACCGAAGTTTATTTATTACTGCGATAACTTGCAGCTGATTAGGAAAGCAAAAACAAGGCGCCGAAGAACGTGAATACCGCTCATTTCTTGCTTATATCAAAGAGGCTGCGAGTCGACCTTCCCGTTTTTTCATGGCTTCAACTGCAACTATTTCTCAAACTCTCAAGTTCGAAACAGATGTGGAGCCTGCCGCACGAAAGCTATGCGGAATAACATACCTGGAGCAAACGACTTCAGCCAAAGATCTAACTGCCATCGCTTCAAACTGTGGTGGTAGAAACGGTTCGGTAAGAATTTCAAGGTTTCTTGGATTTTGGAGGGACTATTGCTCCCACTGCAATACAACCTAATTAA